TAAACCCCAAACCCAATTCCCTAAGCCCTTTGCCCAAAGCACTCAACCCTCAACCTTATAACCTTAAACCATAAACCCCCGACTGTAGACCCAAGAGCCTAAACCTCAAACCATAGACCCTAGACCACACACACTAAACCCTAAAGCCCTAGACCCTAGACCTGAAACCCTAAACCCAATACCTTAATCTGTACACCCTAATCCCTAAACACTAAAACCCTAATGCCTAAAGCCATAAACCCTAAAACCCAAACACTCAACCCTGACCCCTGACCCCTAACCCCTGAACCCTAAACCCTAAACCCTAAACCCAAGCCCCTAACCCCAAACACTAAACCCTAAACCCTAAACCCCAAACACTCAACCCTGACCCCCTGACACCTGACCCCTGAACCCTAAACCCTAAACCCAAGCCCCTAACCCCAAACACTAAACCCCAAAACCCTAAACCCTTAAACCCTCAAACATGTGCCCTAAACCCCTGAGCCCTAAAACCTGAGCCTTGAACCCTAAACCTTGAACCCTAAATCCTAAAAAACCTTAAACCCTAAACCCTAAAAAACCTTAAACCTTAACTTATAAACATAAACCCTAACCCCAAACCCCTGAACCCTGAACCTAAGCCCCAAACCCCAGCCCTAAAACCCTAAGCCCTTAACCCCAAACCCTAAACCATAAATCCTACGCCCTACACCCTACACCCTAAACCCTCAAATCCTAAACCCTATGTCTATTTATAGAAGTGAAAATAAATTTGCAAGACTTCTATAAAAGTAGTTTATAAAATTAGTTTAGCTAAATGCAGCGTTCTTATGATTTGCAACTTCTTTAAAGATTAAAGACCAAGAGATAATGTAGAATAAAGACGAGCTAAATGTAAAGAGAGTAAGGGTAGAAATACTACACAGAGAGTTTATCTCAGTTCAATCCAACCACTTAGCTTACATCCAGTTCCTAAAGTTACACTTGAAATTTTTTATTATATTCACAAGTTTTAGTAGGTGCTTGCAATCGCGATAGAATCCATAAGCTTTCACTAGCACTTGTGAGCTATTTATAAGGTCTCTCACTACACATCAATGAGTCGATTTAACTCCTCACTTCAAAACAGTGAGTGCTTTCTCAATATACCAAGGAAATCTTTCCTTGAATCTCTTTAATAATAAAGATTGCTTTTTCCTATGAAGTTCTCTCTCAAAGAGGTAAATAGGAAACAATTTAGGTACTCAATAAAACTCTCTATAAAAGTAGATATTACATTTTCTCCCTAAGAACATGCTACAAGCTCTTTTTCATATGAACATAAAGAATAGGTAAGAATTGAATGCATGGCTCTGAAATCTCTCTTAATGTGTTACCCACTCATTTAAATGAGGTCCTATATATAGATAAATGATTTTTGAATAATCGGAACCCTTAAGATATGAAATATAGACATTATAAGCATGTAAAAGATATCTATGATACAGAAGGCACTTTTCCTGCAAAGTGCATTAAATACTGTCAGACCTCTCATTCATGCATGGACAAAAGAAATCCAAGTATGGATAAGCTCTCTTCATGTTGGCTCATTGATCACTTCACTTTTATCCAAACGTAGACCATTCAGGGTTCAAGAGTGTATGATACGTATAAAGCACCAAGCTTCTCTATGTGTCCACACATGCATGAGTAATTTGAGTACTAAGTGTGAATGAGTATACAAAGGCACCTTGCCTCTATGTAATATGAATCATACTTGGGAAATCTCTAAACCAAGCTTGAATAGCTTATTCAGTATTATGGCTCATTCTAAGTAAGCTTGAAGGCTAACAAATGATTCATCCATTCAAGTGTAGATTTGACAAAATCCAAGTGTGCATTGCTTCTAAGGCATATTTCAAGCATGGACACAAGGATGTCTAGGTGTGAACTAGCATACAGTGCTATATCTTCACTCTAGTTCTCTAATTCAAGAAAGGTCCCATTATGGTTCAAGCTTGAATGAGATCCAATAAATCTTATATGTATAAGGAATGACCAAGCATATGTGGGACACTAAAAGTCCAAGCGTGAATGAAGCAATGTGAACCACGAGTGCCTACTAACAACTATCAAACAAGCTTGAGCCACTTCTTATCCAAGCTTGGATGAGACATTTAAGCCTAAAGGATTTATGAGCCTATAACTTTTTATATAATGCATTTTTACTATATTCAACCATGTATTTTAGCTCTCAACAATTGTGACAAAGATATCTAAGAGAAGAATAAATAAAGTAAACAGATTATACTGAATATTCTCTTGATCTTCATTCTTGAGTGGAGCATGCATACTTATGATGATTCCCATAATAGCTTCTTCATGCATATTCTTCCTTCTTAAGGTTTTGTCACTTATTCATGATATTATATTTTTACAAAAACAACAAACACCTTCCTCTTAGTTTTGTTATCATTAAAACACATAGTTCAACAAGAGATGCTACTAGTATTCCATGAATACATGGTCCATGATCTTTTTGTCTATAATATTAAGATCATCCAATAATAATGAAAGAAAATCTATTGCATTAATATATTTTTTGTTGGATAAAATAAATATGCTACATTTTAACTTCTAACAAATTATATTTTAGAATTTCTTAGCCCTAAGTGTGCAGCACTCGAGGTGTCTTCATACATGTTATTGATACAACATAGAGCAAAACAGTCAACCCAACTTTTGTATTGCATCAGACGAGAATGGTTGATCAATATATGCAATGGATGCTCAAACACACAAGCACATTACAATTCCCCATGTTACATATACATGAGGATCAACTGAACTGCATCATAAGCTTCAAATTACCAACTTACATGGCATCATTACACCAACAATATTCACTCGGCAGAGAGAATCTGGGTTGATTCTATAATAGTTAGAAGCCCATACCATCCAATACAAATTTTTTGCTTCTTTTTCAAGCAAGGTATTTCGTTGGCCATAAAGGTCCAACTATCTACCTCCTCCATTTCCCATTGTTTTTGAGTTCATAAACTGCTTTAGATATACTTGTAATATAAAGGTGCCAATTGCCTCCACAAGCTCAAAAAAAATACACATAGTGACCCTAAATATTTCATTTGCCTCCATTCAAAAATTTCAACTGCCTTTGTCCCCTCAAAAAAAGAAAAGAAAATTCATGTGGTAACATAAAAAATTTTACTAATTTCATAAAAAATTTATTTGACTAAAATCTTATTCTCATGTTTTAACCTTAAATAGAAAGAGTTTTAAAAAGAAGGGAGTAATAGTTTAAAAAATAATTTTCTTTGATTGTATGTTTAAATTAAAAATTTTATCGCAAAAAAAGTATACTATACAAAAAAGTTAAATCTTGTTGGCAAAAAAGAGCTAAGTGTAGATGAGATAATTTTAAGAGATCATGAACTAAGTCTATCAATTGAACTCACCTTTATTAATTAAAACTCAAGAGACTTAAGTTTTATTAATTAAAACGAAAAGAAAAATTTTAATAGATATAATTTTATGTTATTATAATTTTATATTTTATGTATAGTTCTTTAATAGCATTTGATTTTAATAAGTTTTATATTTAATATAATTTAATAAAAACTATAATTAATTTAGTAATAATATTAATATTAATATTAATATTTATCTAGTGCGATGGCTAATGCTTGTGTAGATTTACACACACCCATTAACGAAGCAAAATAAATATACAAATATTAGTGGTTATAACGGAGGAAAAACATGTTCTGGAATGTATTAATAAAAAGCTGTAGTAAGCTTGTTCTTTACTCTTCATTTTTCATGCCTTAATGTATAGTTCAATGCTGGATAACTCAGTATGAGGGGAGTTCTACAAATGGGTAATTGAGAACTTAGAAAATTTGACAACATAAGAAAAATATGTCATTAATCGAACACGAGTTTAAATTTGGCAAGTCATAAAAACTTCCTGCTTGTTACATTACTGCCAGAAGCTTAAGGAGCAAATAAATTAAGCAAAAGGAAATTACGGTTTTTGGCTTAACTATGAACATTTGATAAAACATTCATGTATATTTTTTGGGAAATGCTACTGTTATAATAAGCTCACCTAGCACTGACATGAGGAGATTAGATATAACTCAATCCCTAAACTTTAACTCTTGTAACTCAATTCTTATATGTTTAATCATTTAAATATTAGTCCTTAAATCTTAAAAATTAAAATTGTAAAGATCAAAATTATGTAAAAATTTATGAGTAATATTTTATATTACTAAATCCTTTTAATCTTTATAAATATTATAAATATTAATATTTTTAAATATTTTTAATATTTATAATTTTTTTTAAATTATAAATATTAATATTTAAATGTTTAAAATTATAGAGATTGAATTGCAAGAATAAAGTCTAAAGACTAAATTATAACCAAATGAAAGCTATAAAAATTGTGTTACAATGAATCAAAATTTAAAAATTAAATTATAATTGAGTTAAAATTACAATGACTAAATGATTAAATTTTTTTTAATTTAAATCTAACTAAAATAAAATAAAACAGAATTTAAATAACAAAATAAAAATTAACTTTTAAAATAAAATAATTACTAAAACACGAAAAAAATTAATTAAATTCCAAACCGTCGTCTTTCAACTCTAAATCTTAAGTTTTAACCCCCAAACTTTCAACCCCAAAGCCTGAATCCTCATACTCCAAACTCCAAACCTAATCACATCTCCTGTTCCCAATTGCATCAAATAGTGTTAGTATTTGTTTAATTGTTTGGATCTAATAATTATGCAAATGATGTTGGGCATCGTTCTATGTTGGGCAAAATAGGCCTGTTTCATAGTTCTTGTACCTTGTACCCCACAAAAGAAAAATCCCGCTCGGATAAAAGAAGCACCTTGCTGGCGACATTAGATGGCTCAGCTGCTCAGCCAGCTTAGTTTCATATCTTCGAAGTCTAGCACATGCGTAAAGGAGAACCCTCCATAGCCAAAACTTCTCTATCCTCTGATTCAATATGTGGAGCGTTGTTTCCAAATCTCACTGGGGACAACTTCCTTTGCCAGCTCTCAACAGAAGGTGAAATTCTAGTCTGTGCCTTCAATTCTTCATTTATTTTTTTTTTTTCACACCTAAACTTACTTTCCCCTTCACTTGTTTTGTTGAAATTTTCGAGTATTTTTTTCCTTTGTCAGACCAAGAATTTCGCAATGATTTCTGTTGTGATTGTTTACTAGCGGGTTGTACAATGCATATGCCTTTTGAGTTTGTAAGAATACATGGCTTTATTGATTGTAAGTTGTAACTAAATTGTTCTCTATCTGATAGCATCTGTTATAATTTATGCTTCTTTGCTGCTGAGAAGGATTGTGCCTTATTCCGCTGTAATTGATATTTGCCCAAAAGTTGAACTAATACTCGTTTGAATGTCATTTTGAGGGCGGCTTTGATTTTTATTTAGTCAATTCAGGTAGTTATGTTGGGTTATATTATATAACATGCTAAACTGTTGTATTGTATACATATATTGCAGTAAACTAGACTGTAGAATTGCCGAGGTTAAGATAAGTGGGAGAACGACTGTAGTCTCTATGGGTATGTTAGCACCAAGAAAGTTCTTGCAGAAAAGGAAGAAAATGGAAGTTTTCAAGGATGCAGCTGATGAAGCTGAAAAGAAAAACTGGAGGAGATTGATGAAGCAAATTGATGAGACTGGTTCTGCTGTTGCAGTGCTAAGAAGTGAAAGGACCAAAAGCCAGACTATTCCTAGGGACCTTGTTGTTGGTACTCTAATTAGATATAAGCAACTGAAGAGATGGAACCATGTCTGCGAGGTAAGCAAGGGACATTGTTTTGTCACTTGAATTTAAGGAAGCAATTAGGTTCCATTTAAGAATCTGATGACCTCTTTTATTTGCAATTTGGCACCATTTTACTCTGTGTTATCTGACTGCAGAAGCTGTATGGTTTTGTGGCAGAGCACAAGTAGTAACTTGTTATATAATTTGGTTCTGATTGTTGAACGTAATGAGAGTATATTCTGGCTTCATTACCTTTTTTTATCAAAATTTGAAAGGCATTCTGATTGGCTGATACATGCATGCTTCTATTTGCTTTAGATTCTTGAATGGCTCCAGACTCAAACTTGGTGGGATTTTGGAGAGATGGATTTCTTAATGCTTATAACGGCTTATGGAAAGCTAGGGGACTTCAATGGCGCTGAGAGAATCTTGTGCTTGATGAATAAAAAGGGTTTTGTGCCAAATGTAATATCTCAGACTGCTCTTATGGAAGCATATGGCAGAGGAGGCCGTTACAATAATGCTGAGGCAATATTTCGTAGGATGCAGCATTCAGGCCCCGAACCTTCTGCTTTGTCTTATCAAATAACACTTAAAACATTTGTTGAGGTGAGTATACACATGATATGCAGTTGTATTCCCCTGTAATAAATTTAAATAGAGCAAAGTGTTACTTTTCCAGTGATAATGGATATGGAATATGATCTCTGTCTTTTTCAAGACATGTTTAGGTATATTTTCTTAAGCCATAAGGATGCGAGAGTGGAATTACAAGTTCTACATGCATCCTCAGTTGAATGCCTATTAGACTTGAACTGTCAGCGTGGGTACTGTTTTACAACAACCTTGGTTTGAAACAAATCATAATTTTGTATTAAAATTTTCTTGCTTCTGCTCTTATTATTTACTGATTCATGATCTATATATTTTTCTGTTTTTTACTATGAGGTTATGCATTTGGATGTTAAGTATCTCTTCCTCCAAAAGTGTAGGGATACAGCTATGAATGTTTATGTTACTGCATGCTTCCAACACCTTAAATTTCTTTGGTGCACTTTAAATTTGCAATGATTAACTGCATCATATCCCAATTTAGTATAGTTTTTTTGAAGTTATCGGATTAAGACTGAGTTTTGACAAAGAAAATGTTTGCCTGACTTTTAGTTTTGATATGTACTATTGGAAAACTTGCAGGGAAGCAAGTATAGGGAAGCTGAAGAATTATTTTACAGCCTTCTGAACAATGGAAAGCCACCTTTGAAACCTGATCAGAAAATGTTTCATATGATGATTTACATGTATAAAAAGGCTGGAAATTATGAAAAAGCTCGTAGAACATTTGCTTTGATGGCTGAGCGAAGAATTGAGCGCTGTACAATTACTTATAACAGCTTGATGTCATTTGAAACAAATTTCAAAGAAGTTTCAAAAATATATGACCAGGTAATATTGAATATTGATCAGATTTACCTTTCAATTGTTAGTGATAGATTGATAAGACCCCATCTCCTGTCACTATCATACCTCACAAGAAGAGACATAACAAGAATGGCAAAGGGCGGAAAAGATGGGACTATTGGTTTAGAAGAAAATACAATGGGTAAGGACTAGTTGAGACATAAAAGTAGGGGAGTAAAACTAAGTAGTCATGATGAAAACAAAAGTAAGGGAAGCATCAGAAAGTGGAGGGGGGGTATATATAGAGGAGTTGGGAACAATGAAGGAAAAAGAAGATTTTTAAGTCTAGATTAAGCTTTGGAGGGAGAGAGGCAAACCAGTTATGTTCTAGAGTTTCTGTTCAGTGGAGACTATATTGTAATAGTTTGTGGTTTGTATCTTGTTTTCTTTCCCTTTGTTACCCTTCTGTGTTAGTATCTGAAGTTGTAAGGTGCAGCTGTCCTCTGTATGAGTTTGTTGTGTTGTATCTGAAGTAATGCATTGTAGTGTTTATTTTTATTTTTGTGTGTAAATCTGCTTTTTATATGTTAGAGGTGATCTGATCTGGAACCATTTGTGGGGGGTCCTATCATAGATCTAGGGTTCTTTTATTTTGTTTAGGACTATTTAAATAAATAAAAAATTAAGTGGAAGCGTATATTATTAATTACTATTTGCATTATTTGTGGAAATATTAAATTTTATTTTTGGTTCTTTTATAAATATATCACTTGGAGTTTGTGTCTCTATATCTAGGAGCCAAGCAATCCATCCTAGCCTTTAATTTGAGATCATCAAATGACATTTTGAGTGTTAATTAACACAATGTCCTGACGAGGGTGTCCTCCCCCAAGTAGAGGGTTCTACATCTAGTTTTTAAAATGTTCTGATAGACAAGATCAAACCATCTTTTCCAATTGACTTTCCTTGTATTACAAGCCCCTGCTTCATCTTTAGCATTCCCTATGATCCAATCCCACAAGGGAAGAGAAAAATATTTTAATTTAGGATGTTTTAACCAACTTAAGCTAGACTTGTCTAGCTTTAGGGCAATCCCAAGGAATGTGAAGGGAGGTATCTAGGGAATTGCAGCTAAAAGGGCAAGTCCTGTGGCAGATGCTAGTTCCACCTAGGGCAAGCCAAAAGGGCTTTATAAATTTTTAATGCTGTGTTGTGTCTAGTGTAGCATTGTATAAGATGATACTGTTGTATGTGATGAAAAACGAAGGGGAGAGGAGGGAGAGAGAGAAGAGAAAGGGGGAAGAGAGAGAAAGAAGAAAGGGAAGGCTGAGATTCTCAAAATCTCTATTCAATAATATTCAAAGATGAATATAAATGATAAACCTAACTCTATTCATAAAGCTTTAAAAATAATTAAATAATAATTCAAATTCAAATTTCAAATCCTAAATCTAAATATAATCTTAAAGGTGCTGATATAAGAAAATAATAAAATAAATAATAAATCTTAATTCTAGTAGATAAATATCCTTATTTAAATATCCCTAATGGATAATCCTAATATCTTAGATAAATCCTAATTATCCTAATTAATCATTATCCTATATTCTATCATTTATCTTATTAAATATAAATACATCTAAGATAACAATAAAATAAAATAATAAATCCTAATTCTAATGGATAAATATCTTTATTTGAACATCCTTAATGGATGATCCTAATATCTTAAATGAACTCTAATTATCCAAATTAACCATGATGTAAAACAAGAAGGGGTAAGAGGAAGAGAGAGAAGAAAAAGAGGAGGAAGAGAGAGAAAGAAGGAGGGAGAAGATTGAAACTCTCAGAATCCCTATTCAATGATAATCAAAAGCTGATTACAAATGAAAACCTTAACTCTATTCATATAATTCTAAAATGATAAAATAATAATAAAATAATAAATCTATCTAAATCCTAAATGTAATTGAAAAAGATACTGATAGAATGATAATATCCTATCTTATTAAATATAAATAAATCTAAGATAACAATCAAATAATAGGATAAATATCCTTATTTGAATATCCCTAATGGATAATCTTAATATCTTAAATAAACCCTAATTATCTTCATTAACTACTATCTCATATTTCATCATTTCTCCTCTGCTTGAAGCATAAAGTAGTTGAGGAGGGACGGGTAGGAGAAATTTCATCCACGTGCATAAATTTGTAAATCTTTTCTGGCAAGTAAGGTAGCAATGAACTACACCATGCAGAGAACAATATTGATTATTTGTAATCTTTGGAAACCATTTCCAGCAGACAAGATACTATTGAAGCTTTTTATTAAGTAACTAGACTTTCTTGGCAGGTACAGTTTGTAGATGAGGTGAATCTATATTAAGGTGGGATTGGTTCTGGCTAATCACAACTTGGGATATAGCAAGTAAAGGAACATTTGTTGGAAATTCTAATGGAGCCTATGATGGTGACGGTGCTGAGGTGGACAAACCACTCTCATGATTAGACTCCACAAGAGTTATAGTAGACTCCTTTAATTTTAGCATTGGAGTTTCAACATCTATATGTTCATTAGCCATATTTTGGCTAATTAGCTACTCCACAATGTTGAATTTGACGTTCCAATTCAGCATTGTAGTGTTTGACCTTAGCTATTTGCCTTTAATATTCAGCACCAAAACCTGCATCCTCAGCAATTTGTCATGCATATTTAGCCGTACGATGTGCTTCATAGTTGCACCATTGTTCATATGCATACCAGTATTGGTGTCACACTAGGCACCCTATTGAAAGATTTGTGTCCTATCAAGCACTATTTGCTAAATTTTTTGGATTTACTGCCTATCTAGATAATGTTACAGTACCAAAGAATATTGAAGAAGCCATGGCCTTACCTAAATGGAGGCAAGATGTAATGGAGGAAATGGAAACGTTGACAAAAAACGATACATGGGATGTGTCACACCCTGAACTTTTAAAGTGTGACTGGCTGGAATACAAGAAAACTCATATTCCATAAGCCTAAACCCATATATTTTCTAATATATTAATTATCCAAACTCATTGTATAATCATCATTTGTATTAAACAACTACTAATATTAATAAAATATTTAAACTTGTTGTAGAAATTTCGGCAAAGTCTCCCTTGTAAGTTGGACTACCTGAAATCTCTACAACCTGCCAAAAGAATATCCATACAACATTCAAAGTTCTACTCCAATACAGTATATATGTACAATCCTAGAATAATTTAATCAAGGATCCTGCCTATAAGATTCATGGAGCGAATCTAGAACAAAACCAAGATACTTAAATATTTACATTAATCCACAATCTGGACAAAGCAACAAAATACTTCTTGTTTCAAGGAGTCCCACGAGATCAAATGAAGAACAGGTCCACTTCTATTATCTGAATACCCAAAAATTCTTCAGTAAATAACGTTCCCAAATAATAATAATATTAAACAAAAATGATAATTATAAATATAAAATAGGAAACAAAAGACTAATCTAATTACAAAAGGTATTAGAAAATAATAATACAATTTAATCTTGATAATTGAGTGAATAAAATAGAAAGGGAAAGTAGAGAATCGTCAACAACCATACCATTTAGAAATATGACTTTCTATATAAAATAAATCACAAAATACAATTCCTAAGAGCAAAAATATGACTTCGAAAAACTTATTTTCTGTTAGGACCTCAACAGAACGAATAATAGGCGTAGACACACAGTCCACGAGGGTAAGTAATATCCGGCATGGCTAGAAGCCACGAAAAAAAAAAGGCGTGAATTATGTTCACGAAATTGCACTCTCCATTCCACGTGTGTTGGCCGACTCACGAGGCTAGGACCTCCAATGTACCCTACTAGCTAGGTATGCCATGGCGCGCCAAAGCTAACGATACTGTTGTTAGCAATCAGTATTCTGTATTCAGTCTCGTAAAAAATTTATGGCATGCATAGAATCTATAAACTCTTGTAATTCAAATTGTTCTTTAATTTGGAAGATATAAACAATCTTTTCACGATAATTTATCTGATCCATGCATGTATGATATATATATATACACATAAATATATATATCTACATTTTAAAAATGAAATACTATGAAAATATCTATATGATTAAAGTTGAGTCATAATCAAACTAATTACATATGAATGAACTAAATCTTAAGATACAAATAAAAAAAGAAATCAATTCAGAACAATTAAGGTAATTAAATAAGGTAAAAGAAAGATCATTACTTCTATATATTAGGGAACGTTATTTACTTACTTGGTATGCTGCCAAGTTCCTAAAATTCTCTTTTCTCAACTTCAATTAAGCTTCTCTGCTTCTGGAATCCCTATTAGATATAATAAAACTTTAATATCTCTTTTTACAATTTGAATCAATTTTTCATATGTCCACTTTTATGCCTCCCAATTTCTCCATTTTTATTCTTAGCCAAACTAATGGCATTGTTATTATTATATAATCCTAATTATACTTCTAAATCATCTTTTGCCATGTATTAACATAATTATTATAACACACACTCATATCATAATTTCCTTGTTCAGCAACAAAATTCAAGACTTCAATTTTAATATTAACTAAAGAAACAACTCTCCCCTTAATTGTACAGCTTTAAATCAAAAGGGCAAGAAAAGAGTTTAAAACTTAACATCTAAAGCAAGAGAAATATCAATATTCAGTATATATACCAGTAGCACAATGATGAGAATGAAAAGTTCAATTAGCTAACTTAGCATGGTAGAATAGAGAATAGAAGAAGACATCTACAGCATAAAGAATAAGAGAAAGAAATCATCAAGCAAACCTCCAATAATGACAAATCCACTACTCAACCTTCATGCACGGAGAGAAAGGAGGAGGAGATCACGGTTCCATCAAGTTTTCAGCAACAATGTGTGTTTTTTTTTCATTTTTCATTTTTTTTTTTGCTGCAACAGACCAGCAAAGTGGAGAAGAAAAAAGAAAGGAAGAGCCAAAGAAACAAAGGACCCAATGGAGATGAACGACGGAGGAAGAAGGACGAAGAGCGAGGATCGATGGAAGCTTAAAGAATTCTCTTTCTCTCTCGTGCTCGTCTACTTTGTTCTGTCTCTTATTCTCTCTATTCTGCCCCTTTTTACCAACAAAGAGGAAGAAGGGTTAAATAAAAAGATAATGGGGGAAAATTACAGGAAAAGACCCAAGCTTATTTGATAAAATTACAAAATACTAACCACCAGATTTTTTTTATTTTTATTATTACTACTATTATTATTTTATTTATATATATATATATATATTTTTTTTTTAGGATTATTATAGGATGTTGTAGAATTGCCTCCAAGCAAGAAAGCTGTTAAATGTAAGTGGGTCTTTACACCTAAATACAATGTTGATGGTAGTCTAAACAAACACAAAGGAAGACTTGTTGCTCAAGGGTTGGCCTAGGTGTATGGCATGGACTATACTGAGACATTTGCACCTATAGCCAAACTTAATATTGTCAGAATAATTCTATCTCTAGCTACCAGTTTTGATTGGCAGTTACATCAATTAGATGCAAAAAACACCTTCCTGAATGGTGAGTTGAAAGAAGAAGTATATATAAAGTTGCCTCCTAGGTTCTTAGGGAATAAATCAAATCAGTATGCAAATTGAAGAAGCCCTTGTATGGACTAAAGTAGTCTCCAAGAGCGTGGTTTGAGAGACTTACTCAGGTACTAAAAAAGGCAAGGTTTACGCAAGATCAAAGCGATCACACCATGTTCTTTAAACACTGAGGCGCTAAAATTACTGTTTTGTTAGTTGATGTGGATGATATGGTTCTTACAAGTGATGATATTGAGGAGATTGAAAACCTTAAAAAGGCACCAGCTCAAGAATTCCAAATAAAGGATCTTGGAGAAGTGAAGTACTTCCTAGGTATGGAGGTGGTGAGATCTAAGAAGGGAATTTCTATTTCTCAGAGAAAGTATGTGCTAGATCTCTTGAAAGAGAATGGCATGCTTGGATGTAGACCTAGTGATACACCTATCTAAGTTGACAAGATAAGCAATGAAGAGGACCTAGGCAAGTCTGTTGATATAGGCAGGTATCAACATATAGGGGGGAAACTGAGCTACTTGTCACATATCAGGCTGAATATTGCTTTTGCAATCAATATGGCTAGTCAACACTCACATGACCCCAAACAAAAACACTTGAATGAGGTTTGTAGAATTCTCAAGTATTTGAAAGGTACTTCAGGAAAAGGATTATGGTTTAAGAAATCTAAGAAACAGGGTGTAGAAATCTTCACAAATGGAAAATGGGCAGGTGATCATGAGGACAGAAAGTCCACATCTGGATACTGCACTTTTGTTTGGGGAAACTTGGTTACTTGGAGAAGCAAGAAGTAGAGTGTAGTTGCTTGTAATAGTGCAAAGGCAGAATTTCGAGCCATTGCGTTAGGAATTTGTGAAGGTATATGGCTAAAAAGAGTTATTGAGGAACTAAAAAAGAATGTGAATTTGCCTGTCACTCTCAAACAATCCAGTCCAATATGATAGGACTAGGCACATTGAGATGTACAAACACTTTATCAAAGAAAAGATTGATACTGGCATCATCCAGACACATACCAATAAGGGAGCAAATGGCTTATGTTCTCACCAAAGGCCTGGGTAGAGATAAGTTTGATTATTTTATTGGCAAGTTGGACATGACATCTATGTTCCAACTTTAGGGGGGTATGGAAATATATAATATTTAATGTAAATATTTGGTGATTATTCCCGTAGATGTTACACGATCAAATAGGATCAAATTTATCAGGGAAGATTTGATTTTATTCTGTATCATTGTAAATCCCTTGTTTCTTGGCCCATATCATGGTTTCCCTATTGTATATATTCTATCGACACCCACTAAATAAAATAAGTTTAATAAGGCTTTATTGTGACAAGTTAGCTATCAACATACATGATCCTATACAACATGACAGGACCAAGCATGTTGAAATTGATCAACACCTCATCAAAGAGAAGTTGGAAAGTGGTCTAATCTGTACCCCCTACATACCTTCTGCTAATTCAGATATACTCACAAAGGGATTATCAAGTGAACATTTTCATAAGTTAGCATCCAAGCTGGGAATGGATGACATCCACTCTCTAGCTTGAAGAGGAGTGTTAAAATGTGTAGTTAAATTGCGTTTATTTATTCCTTTAGTAGATAGATATTGATTGGTGGTTAGAGATTAAAATAGCATTTATTACTCTATGTTATGTACTCTTATAAATATCTCAGCAAACTCTTGTAAATTATCTGAGAAATAATTAAAAGTATTTTTCCCACCAAATTTGTCATTAACTATTTTGGCATCATTTTGGAATCATGGATACACACTGGAGGCTTGTCTGATTCCTAGAAGTCGAGACTGCCCAATTTATGTTATTTAAAAATCAAACCACTGGTGTTTTGAAGGACTGCATTTTATTTACTCTATTTTTTCTTGTGTTCTGCCTTTAATATGTTATTTATAATTAATTCATCAGATTTTGAAGTGAATGCCTAATTTTAGATGCAAAGAGCCGGTCTCCAGCCTGATGTTGTGAGCTATGCCTTACTCATCAATGCTTATGGGAAGGCTAGAAGGGAGGATGAAGCACTGGCTGTCTTTGAGGAAATGCTTGATGCTGGTGTTAGGTATGTGATGGAACCCTGCTGATAAAACAGTAAATAAAGCCAGAAAAGAGACAGCAGAAGAAATAAATGAGGGGAAATGCTGAGGTTTTTCTATTATAAATCAAAATGAACAGAATCAGTGTTATATGAGCCCACTGATTCTGGCAAAACCCTATTCCTCTGTTACAGCCAAACTGAAATCAAAACAGACAACTCAAGAACTAATTCACAGAGAAACACTAAAACTGAACCATTGGCATTCAAGAGGCCAAACTCTCCTAACCACACTCACAATGCAAAATAATCCATAATACCCCTCCTTACCAGCAGAAAGAGTAGTAAAACTCAAAAAGCAACATGCACCACTCCCAACATAGGCTATACACCTAGGCAGCCCCAAAACCATCATTACAACAGTACTTACTTTCCCTTGCACTCAGGATCCGTAGGACCAACACATAATCCAGCAGAGTTCTCTTCTTCCTCCCCTTTTGTCCCCCTTGATTTCCTCCTATATGTTTTTATAACTTTATCAGTTCTACAGTATGCAACCCAAACTTTTTTATAGCAAGACTTCAATGTTGCCAAAGCTACACATTAAGCACATACTAGTGATATATAGTTGCCGTCTCAGATCTCAAGTGTAAAACAATACTGAATCTTATTAAAAGTTATTGGTCTTTAACTTTTTGCTTTTTATACAAAATTTAGCATTGCATTGATGATATAAAATTGATTGTCGCTTAGATTTAAAGCTAACCTACTTAATAGCTTACTAGTGCACATGTTATTTATTAGTTGTTTTCCTCAATTATCCTTAAATTTTAACTCAAAACTACTCAATTCCTATAATTTCTTAACTTGAAACAACTCAATCCCTATAGTTGCTTGATTCGATACAACTTAGTCCCTATAATTCCTTAATTTAGTAAATCACAAGAACTAAGTTGTACTAAGTCAAAGTCGAAAGACTAAATTGATAATTGAGGGAGAGTTTAGGGAGTAAAAACTATGTTATCCCAAAATTTAAATTACATAATTGGAATATTTGTAATTATCTCTTGGAGGACATAAGTCAAAAACTCAATGATAAAGATAGTCTAGCTAACGGTTTTAATAATAGTATCGTCCTTGTAACAAAGGTTAGAGTCACATGTTGTTATTCTAGTAATCATGTAACAAAATCCTTAATCTTTTCTTAGGCATTTTACAAAGCAATTACCTATGAATGCAGCACAGCTTCCTTGGTGCCATCATGAGTAAAGTATTCAAAAAAAAAAAAATTGGCCTGTTGAGACACTGGTATTACTACTACTACTACTATTATTATTAGTTTATGTTTCTTATTTTCTCATTCATATATTATATTCTAGGTTAGTTTAAATACTATATCTTTGTTAATATTTTATATATCTCAGAAGATAAATCTATGATGTTAAGATTTAGTAAAAGATATTTTAAGGATCCTGGAGTTAGGGTTATATGACAGCTTATATTAAGCCCTAATGTATCCTATTATGATTAAGAAATAAGAGCTACAGAGGTTACTTTACCTCTGTTTCTACATGGCCAATATGAACAAAGCATTCAAATTGATCTACCCTTATCACCAAGAATCAATTAATACAAAATATCAATCAAATCAATAGTAATTTGCAATGTTCATGAGCTGAGTGATGTAGCTCATCTCAAATTCTCTGCAATGGATAGGTAAGCGTCCAGTTTGCTCATTTTTTAATTGATTTCTATCATATTACAAAAACCATGATGATATCTAGCATGCCTATACAGTTAATGTGCCTTTAATAACAAACTTTTTTAAACTTATTTTTTTTGGAAGTGTAGACGTTCGGACAGGCTTTTCAGTTGATTGCTGGATATATGTTCTGGCAACATATTTCTCTGTTATTTTCTGGTTTAATTGGTAAATTCTGTAGCTTAGTAAAACAATTTTAACGTTCCGTATCCTATCCCTTTTCACAGACCAACCCAGAAGGCTTATAATATTTTGCTTGATGCATTTTCAATATCGGGAATGGTAGAGCAAGCTCAGACTGTGTTGAAAAGCATGAGAAGGGATAGGTAAATCTTGTCTCTAATGTTAAAAGTTTTAATGCCATTTTTATGATATAAATTTTTGAAGTTTCTATATTTTAAACAAGTGAGATAGAAAAATAGTTTTCTTCAATTCAAAGCATAAATCTTCTAAAGTTATCTTTCGTAGAAATTTTTTGTCAAGAGAAAGGGAAAGCTAATGGGAATTTCTGATGTGTAGGGGTAGAAAGAATGTGAGAGAGAGAGAGAGAGAGACAAAAGAGAAAGAAGAAGAGAGATTAGGAGATACTGAATAGTGCAATCTGAATCATTCTCAAACGCATAGGTTTTGATTAGAACCTCCCTTTATATAGTAATTACTAACTCCTACTTCCCTTAACCTCCTAAAGGTCACAAACCACTAACTACTTTACTAATTATAAATTATACACCAGTTTCATACTCAAAAGTGTCCATTATGTTTGAGACATTTTTTCTTGGAAGATGTCTTGTCAAAAATAATTTTTAATTTGATTATAATGACAGATTGATATTCATTGACAAATAACATCCTCTTGACCTCTTGTAAACTCTGCCGCATGGTGCTTCTGCTTATCCTGAGTTGCATATTCTGGTGCAAATAGCATATTATTTTTCTACAGAGCAATATATTCTGGTTTCTGGTGCAAGTAGCATGATGTTTTTTCAATTGTTGCACTGAACAAGATGAAATGTATATAATTCCCTATGAAGGAAATAATCTTTATATTTTCCAACTCAACTTTGTGGTGGATCAGTTAGTTCAAGGCTTCCATATTGTAATGTTGGAGAGAATTAGAATGGACAAGACAGCTGGATAATTCATGTTTATAATAAGATTCCCAAATTATGAACTTTCATCTTTAAGAACAAGACTCTGTAAATAGGAAGGAATGAACAAGTATGCAGGAAATTTTGTGCTAAAATTGAAACTTTCATGATAATGATGTCCCTAGAAATGATAGGAGGTATATGGAGATTATGGATAGCAGCTCTACCCCTACTGATTAACTAATGGATATGGATTATTCTTATGCTTTCACTAATTTCTGTTTCTGTGTTCTTTTTTGGGAGTGGAAAGGACAAAATAATATAATGTTTTCAAATTTTGTTAAGGAAAATCAAAGTTGTATGACATTCTATAACAGGCCCCGTAACTTCATTCAATTTTGTAAGACAGCCTCATAGTCTTCAAATTTTTGAGAAGGCTAAGAACTTTCTTTTTGAAATTTATCCTTTAGTTGTTTGAATATTAAAACTTGAGAAGATCTTTGACGTGATTGGAGCCTTTTTATTTCTACGTACTGTTGTAGCTTCTAAATCTTAAGATGCCCCCTTTTGTGGAAGATTGACATTTGTTCTTTTACATAAAGCAACGGACTTTGACATTTGTGTTTTAATGCCTAAAAAAAAAAAAAAATCATGGTTTGACTAACAGTTTGACCTTTTAGCTTTAGTAATTGTTTGACGGTCATGACGTTAAGTTTTACATCATACCATGTTTTAGAAACTATACTTTTAAGTCTTCGACTGAGCCTTTCACCAACACGTCAACAAAATTTTCTGTGCATGTCAGTCTACATTTTTTATAATGCAGAATTTGTATAGGCCTTAGTATACCTTTTCATGGAATGCACACCTGTCTAGATGCAGATTGGTAATCTTCTTTCCTTTGTTCTTTTGTTCGCCTTGTTTTCTTTACGTGTTTCCTCATAATCATTTGTGTACAAGACAAAATCAAGTATAAGAAGAACTGTTTTAAAGCCATACATTTGTGTAACAATGAAGAAAATTGAGAGAGGTACCGTATGGCTAAGAAGGAAACTAAGAGAGCTGTGGGTGAAGCTCGTTCTAAAGCTTTTGAAGAATTTTATAAAAGCCTTGAGACGAAGGAAGGAGAGCGAAATATTTATAAGATTGCCAAGAGTAGGGAAAGAAAATCAAGAAATCTAGAACAGGTAAGGTGTATTAAGGATGAAGAGGGAAGAACTTTAGTTACAGATGCTGAAATTAAAAATAGATGGGAGACTTACTTTTCTAAACTTTTCAATGATGGAAAGGGTTCATCTAGTGACTTGGAGGATTTAGTAACTGGTGAAGGAGAATAAAATTTGTCATTCTATTGAATAATACGTGATAAGGAGGTAAAGGAAGCTCTTAAGAAAATGGCAAATGGAAGAGCCAACGGACCTGATTGTATATCTATCGAAGTGTGGAAATGTTTAGGTGAAGAAGGGGTGAGATGGTTAACTAAGTTATTTAATGTGATTTTACGGTCCAAGAAAATGCCTGATGAGTGGAGGAGAAGTACATTAATTCCTATTTATAAAAATAAAGGAGATATTCAGAATTGTACTAACTATAGAGGGATTAAACTCATGAGCCACACAATGAAATTGTGGGAGAAAGTAATTGAGCACAGGTTGAGATTGGAGACAAGTATTTCTGAGAATCAGTTTGGTTTTATACCAGGTAGATCAACTACAGAGGCGATTTATCTACTAAGGGGATTAATGGAAAAGTATCGTTGTAAAGATAAAGATCTACACATAGTTTTTATTGATTTGAAAAAAGCTTATGACCGTATATCAAGAGAAGTGCTTTGGAAAGCATTAGAAAAAAAGGGAGTACGGATTGCTTATATTAAAGCCATACAAGATATGTATGAGGGGGTAAAAACTAGTATAAGAACGCCTAGTGGTCAAACAAAGGATTTTCCTATAAAGATTGGACTACATCAGGAATCATCTCTGAGTCCTTATTTGTTCAACTTGATCTTAAATGTTTTAACGGAACATATTCAAGGGAAAATTTCGAAATGTATGCTCTTCGCCGATGATATAGTTCTTATAGCAGAGACAAGAGAAGAGGTTAATTGCAAACTTGAGTTGTGGAGGAGGACATTGGAGTCAAAAAGTTTTCGTCTGAGTAGAAGTAAGACGGAATATTTATATTGTAAATTTGGTAAAGGACTATTTGACAATAATTTGGAAGTGAAATTGGGAGATCAAATTATACCTCAAGTGAAAAAGTTTAGATATTTGGGAGCCATTATTCAAAATGATGGCGAAATCAGTGGAGATATTTCACATGGAATTCAAGCTGGATGGTTTAATTGGAGAAAAGATAAAGGAGTTATTTGCGATCGTAAGGTGCCTAATAAACTTAAAGGAAAGTTTTATCGCACTGCTATTAGACCGGCAATGTTATATAGTAGTGAATGCTGGGCTCTAACGGGACAGCAAGAGCATAAAATTGGATTAGCAGAGATGAGAATGTTACGATGGATGTGCGGACATACACGTAAAGATAAAATTCAAAATGAGCACGTACGCGAAAAAGTGAGGGTGGCACCTATTGAGGAAAAAATGGTAGAAAATCAGTTGAGATGGTTTGGGCATGTACAAAGAATACCAAGGGAGGCACCAGTGAGAAGAGTGGAAAATATAACTTTGAGTCCGATTAAGAGAGGTAGAGTAAGGTTTAAGAGAACACTCTTGAAAGTTATTGAACGCGATCTCTTAATTAATAATATTCCTAAAAGTTTGATAAATGATAGAGCACAATGGCGTCTTGCAATCCATGTAGCCGACCCCACCTAGTGGGATAAAGGCTTGTTGTTGTTGTTGTTGTTGTTTTTCCTCATAATTATTTGTTATGAAAATGCTGTTTAGATGTGTCAGAGTTAGGGTCCAATTCTTTGTATGATATTAATTGCAGGATATTCAAGTCGCCAATGTTACTCTTGTCAAATAATTTGCATGTGTGACGTAGATATAGGATTTGTCTATCTGATGCTAGTGTGGATGCAAGCCTAATCTGTGAATTATGAAATGAGATTTCATAGATTAGCGGATTTATTATTTATTAGCCTAAAACAAATTTACTTGAATAAATACTTTTGATGTCGAATGAAAAATGATTTTTGTCTCATTGAATTTTTTCTGGGTTCAGCTTTCATTGGCGTTCTTTGATTGTGGGTTTTCCCCCACTGTTCTGTTTACTTGAGGAGCACTTCTTGAAGGAATTGTATTGGAACTTGGAAGCATAAATTTTACTGTCATCATTCTTTTTTGTGTTTGAGAACGACATCGATCATGCTTCTCTTATGCTGTCATTGTATTTTTATTTTATTTTTTTCCAACGCAGATATTCACCTGATCTTTGCTCATACACTACTATGTTGTCTGCTTATGTCAATGCATTGGATATGGAGGGAGCTGAGAAGTTTTTCAGGAGATTAATACATGACGGTTTTAAGCCTAATGTTGTCACTTATGGAACCCTAATTAAAGGGTATGCCAAGTTGAATGATCTTGGCAAGATAATGGAGAAATACGAGGAAATGCATGGATGCGGTATCGAGGCCAATCAAACTATTTTAACTACAATCATGGATGCGTATGGAAGAAATGGGGATTTTAGTGGTGCTGTTGTTTGGTTTAAGGAAATGGAATCAAATGGAATTCATCCTGATCAAAAAGCAAAAAATATTCTATTATCTCTGGCAAAAACAGACAAAGAAAGACAAGAGGCTAATGAGCTTGTAGGACATTCCGATGAAGTTAGCGGTTTAAACGCGGTCAATGGCTCTGTTCCAGTTGTTGATAGCAATAATGAAGGTGAAGGTGATCATGAAAACGACGAGGAAGAGGAAGAAGGTAATTATGAATATTTTGATGGCCAGCTAGCCATGGCATGTGACGAACAATCCAGATGAATGTTGATGATAGACACATCTTAATTTTTTTCCTTCATATTATTTTTGAAGTTTTTTTGGTAAACGTTATATTTTTGAATTTAGCTTCATGTTTTATGTTAAAATCATATAAGCAATTGGAAGCCATTATTTTAGGTCAGATGTATAGGCAATTGACATCTTGTTCCATTTAAGCTTGCGAAGAGCGTTAATTGGAAGTCAGTCAGCTGCCATGTGTGGAAAAAAAATGGAAATTTTTGTTTTTTTGTTTTTTTTTTGGGGGGGGGGGGGGTGGGGGGTTGTGTTTAAAAGGAAGACTGGGAATCCCGACTGATGACCATTCCCTTTATTTAACATATCTGAGCCCAGGTTCATTTCCTTTGGGAACATGCTCTTCCTTCCTCCTCTTCAAATGTTTCTTCATCCTATTCAATCCTCTGTTCAGTTTTAACTCCTTCCGAATCCCAGACTCGTCGAAACAGATTTCAAAAATTAGAAGTAAAGAATAAGAAGAAAATATTGGAGTTGGCAGCCCGGCTGACTACGCAAAGCGGCAAGAGCGAACGGGAGTGATGCGACGGTGTTTGTTTATTTACTGATAGGCAGTTATGGAATTTTTAAAATTCCTGAATTTGCGAATTGTATTTTCAACTAATTTTTACATAAACTTTATTAGGAATCTTAACTATTATTCTCCCTTAAAAATATTTTGGTCCGCGTATGGGTGTGGGTATCTACTGATAGGCTCGAAACGCGCCCTGATTAATCTGTTGCATTGCATAACGATGCTGATGGTCGAGCTGTCTTAAGAACTTCCATTAGCAAAGAATGTATCTGTTGCAATTTCGTTCTTTTGTTACATACGTAACCCAAAGAAATAAAAAAGCTGTTAGATGGAATATGCGTATGCACGCACACGCACACAAACCTCTACCATATGGATCCATCCATTCCATCGCATATTCCTCCACCAAATTATATTTTATTGTTTCTTTGGTCAACCACCCAATTCCATTCATCATATATGGCTTGTTTCATGTCCCCCCCCCCCCCCCCCAAAAAAAATATAATAACCGAGAAAAGAACAGAAGAAACTCGAAGAACAGCTGCTACGATGCTTCTGAAAATCTTCCCCCATGCATGGAGTTGAAAATGGCTCCTAAAGACCAGGTTTGCTTCGCAAAAATTTATCTACCCTTCCTCCTATCGATTTTCCACCCATTAGTTTCTCAGAAAGTGATATCTTCTGCAGCCTCAAGTGGGGGATAGATTGGGTTGTCGGTTTGATTTTGGATTGTTTTGCTGAAGGGAAGAAAAGGAGCAGTGTTGGTGTATTCGTCTCTGGATGTTTGAACAGGTTCTATTGAACGAATTGGTGGGCTGCAAATTGTTAACATGTTGGTAGTGTGTTGTCGTTAAATTTTATGGTTCTATTCTAATGGAGCGAAGCATGCGTCTCGTGATCATGTCCTATGTTGGCTGATTTTGTTAGGTTTTAAAATGGCTACAGTATTTTAACAGCTACATAAATAACAAAGTTATAGAAGCAGTGAAAAAGGGCAGTTTAGTAAATGACTACACTGAAGGGGTCGAGATGAAATTTGGCATGTTATTAGATTAGATTTATCATATAGAAGCTCTTGCATAGCAAAGTTGGCGGGAATCCAAGCAGGAAAAGGTCCACAGTTGACCATCCAAAGCTTAGCTTAGAATCTGAACATCAGAAAATGTGTTACTGCTGTCATTTTCACATCAGGAGAATGGACTAGTGCTCAGATTCTTTACTTCTGTTGGTGTAGTTTAGCCCTAAATTTTTTTATGGCATAAGTATGCATAGAGCCTTAAAATAAGCCAAAATTGTGTCCCATTCTAATCTAAATAGCTAATGTTATGAATTTCCATAGCTAAACTTAATTATCAGAACTTTTACAACAGAAATAGATTAATAGCTAACTTTGATATTGTACCAATGTAAGATTTGGTGAATTTTATTAGTATGATCCATGCTATGATGCTGTTAGTGGTGGGAGTTGGTGCTGTTAGTGTCTTCATGTATTACAGGGGAATGCTGCTCGGAAATTAGGACATTTATGAAGTTTTGGTTATCCAACGACCTTGAACTGATTTTATGAAAATTTGTTCATAGTATAACTTCACGCTAGACTTAAGCTTTTGATGTAGGATTCCTATTGCGCTTGACATGTTTCTTTTTGAATATTTATGCATTATTATTCCCTTTTTTCCCCCTTTGGAGAGGTGGTTTGCATGGCCCTGCATTCAGAGTTTCTCTCATGCTTTGAATAAATTCTGATTGGGTTGTAATTTTTACAGTGCTATACAATTCTTGCAAAAAGATAAAGCAATACAAGACAAAAGGTTCTCTAGTTTTAGTCAGCAATACAAGACAAAAGGTTCTCTAGCTTTAATCAATCTGTCAATATTGCTAGATGTTTCTTTCCAATATATATATATAATCAGTTAGGTTCTCTAGTTTTAGTCAATCTGTCAATATTGCTAGATGTTTCTTTCCAATATATATGTAATCAGTTTGGATTAAATGATTAATTTTGACTTGTAATTTTAGTGAAGAATAATTTTAACTCTCAAATTGTTTGTGCCAGATGTTGTATGATCCAACTTTCTCAAACTAATTTATCAAGTCAAGAAATCTTGCCAAAGGATTTGGAGTTGCTTATATTTTCTTAATTTGTAGTGCATGTAATTGTACGTAATTTGCTTCTTGTAAATTTTAGAAATTGATAGCTGGCATGGCAATGACAAACAGTATGGTTCTAGTTGGTCGGTATAGTTAGTATATTTGAAAAACTAGTGAAATAACTTAGATAAAACTAGATGTGGGCATACGCATTTGCATGGAGTTTAAAAGAATCACATTATTCATGACTTGTGAATAATGCAGATCTTAAAAATTTGATAATATATTGATTGGCATTGATTCTGTTCGTAATTATTTTACTAAGTATTACTCATCATTCAATAATTTAGTCAGTGGACAATAACTTTGATTTGCATAGTTCCATAAATTATCAATCTAAAATTAAAAATCAAAATTGCTATGCTAGATAAAAGAGTTTTCTTAATCAATAAATCAATAATAAATAGATTTGATTGGTCTGCAGAGAATTATTTTTTTACTTGCTTACATATTTTGGGTTGGACTGTAAGTATATATCATTCTACAAAGCAGGGTTTTAGTTAATTGCAGAAGAAAAATAAAAATGATGAGCTAGCCTCTAGTGTGGCGCAACTTGCTCCTCATCATCCCCTTTGAAGTCTGAAGCCACCTTTCCTCCTAGGCCAAATCTCTCAATTCCAATATATATAGCAAAGTTAGGGAGACATTATTATAGCAAGATTAAAGAATCAAAATGGGAATTGTGGAGGAAGCGCACAACGTGAAGATTGTGGGATTAGGTGTGCGTTTCATAGTTTTGGCTCATGGATTTGGCACTGATCAATCAGTGTGGAAGCACCTTGTACCTCAACTTCTTGACGATTTTCGCGTTGTTCTCTATGATAACATGGGAGCCGGCACCACTAACCCTGACTACTATGATTTTGAACGTTACTCAACTCTGGAAGGCTACGCGCATGATCTACTCGCCATTTTGAAGGAGCTACAAATCAATTGCTGCATCTTCGTCGGTCACTCGGTTTCTGCCATGATTGGCATCATTGCTTCTATTTATCGCCCTGATTTCTTCTCAAAGATCATCATGCTTTCCGCATCGCCTAGGTAATCAATCTAGACATACCATCTTGCTTATTGATGCTGAACTCAACATTTGAATGAAATCACTAATTGAGAATTGCGAATTTTCTGTATGAGCAAGGTATTTGAACGATGCGGATTATTATGGAGGATTTGAGCAGGAAGATTTGGACCAATTATTCGATGCAATGAGGTCCAATTACAAAGCATGGTGCTCGGGTTGGGCCCCTCTGTGCGTGGGCGGAGACATGGAATCTGTGTCAGTGCAAGAGTTTAGTCGAACTTTGTTCAATATGAGGCCAGACATAGCGCTAAGCGTGTTGTATACAATTTTTCACTGCGATATGAGGCAAATTCTGAGTTTTGTCACTGTACCATGCCATATTATACAGAGTATGAAGGATATGGCGGTTCCCGTGATGGTTTCAGAGTATCTTCACCAACACCTCGGCGGTGAGTCCATTGTGGAGGTTATGTCATCGGACGGCCATTTGCCGCAGTTGAGCTCGCCTGAGATTGTTATTCCGGTGCTTCTCAAACACATTCGCCATGATATCGCAGCGGGATTGTAACTGGTGATTTTGTGGAGGCAAGATCATCATTCTGCGGGCTGCGCCCCGGAAAATCTCCTCCTAGATGCTTGGAACCGGGGAGCATTGGCCTTTATCTTTAATATTAGCGTCTTGTAATGAATGTCATTTTATGAGCTTATGAGTTTATTTTGCACATGACCCACATCGTGCACCTGTTATGGTGGTGAATCTCCCAACAAAAATTTTCTGCATACACAAAATTTAAACTCAAAACTTTATTTAAGCAAAATCGCGTCGCTTACCACTCGGGCCAATTCTTGTTGGTGCGTTTATTTTGCTTTGTTAAGCCATGAAGCATTTAAATTTTTATTGGGCCTTCAATCTCCATTCTGTGCTACGGGAATTATTTGACCGAGTTGATTAGCTAAATCAGATTCATTTGTTGGAATATTGGATGCTGCGAGTTATTACTGTTGTCATAACCTAAAGCATAACATAAAATATATCCACTCAGAGGTCAAAAATTTTGCAATTTTTTTAATTATTTTATTAAAGTAATAATTATTTTATTTATTCATTGCTTACAAACAATGAATAAAAATAATCATTTGAATTAAAAAAAGAATAATTCCTTTTACCTTGTTCAAGTTTTGGCCTTTTTTTTTTTTGACAAATTTTTCCATGTAACAATTTTTAAAGATTAAAAGTTTCACTAGTAAATTTTTTATAATTCTTTTTTTTTTAATATACTCCCTCCGATAACAAATATAAGCATTTTTTCAAGCTAATTTCGGTTCAAATATATATAAGCAACTAACTTAGTAGTTGTAAAAATATTCTTTTTATTTTACCCATTATATTTATTTACTTGGATTCTATGTGTATTAATGACCTTATTCTTACTCATCATTAGTAATTAAGACTAAAGGTAAAAAGAGAAAATAATATATATTTTAATGAAAATAAGGATTTAATCAGTGTACAGATTATTGTTGAAAGTTTCTTATATTTTTTTATCGAAAAATATAACTTCTTAAAAAATATAAATAAGTTGTGAGTGTGCGTATGTTAAAATTTGAAGAATAATAATGCAATGTGTTTCCAGTTCGAACAAGGAGGGAGCACGTTTATGAAAATTAAATTCCCAGTGGATGGAGACGCATGGTGAAGAGTGTCCAAAAATATAATAAGTTTTTAAATTATAGAGTCAACAAAATTAATTATTAAACAATAGTGACAGGCATTATTTATTTTAGTGACCGATAATATCCTTTACAAAATTAGTGACGGATGCATTTCATCACATAGATTAGTAACACTATTTTGTAACAAAATTATCGATGGAAGAAAATAATAATTGATTTTATCATTTAGTGATGGATTTGTCCCTCACTAATGTCAAATTTTTTAGAAAAAATGATTTCTTATTATGTTTGGAGTCCTACACCTACTCCTTCTATAAAGGGATCTTGATACTTTATGATTCTTGTTGATGACTTTTCTCATTTAATCTAGATCTCTATGATAAAACATCGATCTGAGTTACCTAAACTTTATATCAAATTTGTTAATATAATTCACACTTAGTATTCTAAAGTTATCAAAAAAATTTATCGTGATAATGCTTTGGAATATCTTAATTCTAGATTACTCAGCTTTCTTGATTCTCAGGGCATTATTTCTCAATGTTCTTGTCCCTACACTTCTCAACAGAATGGTCATGTTGAGCTTAAGCATTGTCATATTCTTAATTTTGTTAGAGCATTGCTCATTTCCTCTTCTTGTCCTGCATGTTTTTAGGGTGAAGCAGCCTTAATTTATATCTTTTGCATCAATTGACTCTCGTCTCCTATCATTGATAACATTTTTCCTTTCAAGCATCTTCATGGTTATTCTCTCTATTATAGTCTTTTGAAAGCCTTTACTAGTACTTAGTTTTATAAGACAAACAAACTTCAAGCTCGTGCTTGCGTCTATTGTTTCCTTGGATATGATTGTAAACATAAAAGTTATCATTGTTAGGATTCATTCTCTCATCGTATCTTAGAAAATTTAACCCTTGACTTGCTAAGTTAGATAAGGTTAATTAAGTAATTAATGTGGTATGTAGTCAGAGAGTCTTAATGAATGAGTTGGGTTGTAATTTTAACTTTAATATTAGGTCCAAAATAGAGTTAAGCCACCCAAACTTGAAGAAGAGAAAAAAAAAAAAAGGAAAAGTGCCTCTGTGCCATGGCACACTATCAAAATTTTATAGAAATAAGAGCGCTTTGTTGTTCTCCATCCTTCCTCCTCGCAAGTTAGTGTTGTTGATAGCTGCATGAGTTTCTTTCATGCTACTGTGTAGGTGCTTCTTCCTCCTTTATTCTCTATTATGCCTCCTCCATTGTCAACTAATATACTACCAGTGGGTGTGTGAGGAGCTATGTTGTTGGAGCTAGAGGGTTTTGCTTGTGAATCCTCCTCCCTTGTTCTTCCTTGTTCATGTGTCAGCCTCTCCTCCTTAGTTTTTTTTCTTGTTGCTGAAACTCTTTCATCTCTGTGTTTGCTGTGGTGAGGGATGTTATAATGACCCTAATTTTTTTAAAAAAAAAGAAAAATTCTTTCAATTGATATTTTATTTAAATTAGTTTTATAATGAGTTTACTGTATCTTATGCTAGTACCTCACTTGAAGGTCCTCTAAATCCTTTTAAGCAATAGAGTAATTTCATTTTGTTTTAAAAATGGGAAAAATTACCAGACATGCCTTTGTCTTTTATGTTATAAAAGAAAAATTTTGGGATTTTCTTGTAATTTTTTTCAATTATTCTATGTTCAGATTTCTTTTTCTTCTTAAGCGAAAACAGAGCACCATTCGGATCCCTTTTTTTTTTTTTTTCCTTCTCTTCACCGACATCAAGCTCCTTCTTTTTCCTTCTCTTCTTTTCACCAATCATCTTGAGGCTTCCTTCTCCGCCAGTCAGTTCGTCGTTGACAGGTGCATGAATTCCAGCCATCACCATCAAGTCTTCATCTCCCCTGTTCGGACGTCGGGTTCCTCTTTCCTCTTCGAGCAACAACAATAATCTGGTGCGCAACCTTTCTGGTGTGAATGTTTGGTGCTTCAGACTTTTCCCTCCCTTGTTTCGATGTCGACTGCCTCTCTTCTCCTTCCTCATATTCACGCGGTGACACTTTCTTCTCCATATGGTTCTGAATCCGCTGATCTATGTGTTGGAGCTTTAAGCTCTGCCTTTCATTTGTTTCAACTGATCGGGTGAGTCAATCTCACCTCCTCTTGCTTCCTTGCTTGATTTGTCTATTTGTGCATAGGCGGTTTATGGCTAAAGCTGTGAGTATTTCTTCGTTGTTTGCTGCTGTACGTGACTAAGGAATAGTTGGGGTTCGATATATATGTTTGATTATTATAAGAGAAAGGGATGAGTTTAATTTTCTTCGAGTCTAATTGGTTAGTGTTGAAGGAGTGAAAATGGGAAGCTTGAATAGTTAAACATTGATAATGAAATTTTTGGAGAGGAACTTGAAGAGAAAGAAACTTTGGTAATATAGGTAGATATGAATGCTGTTTGATAAAATACCTGTTATAAAAGTTTGCTTGATTATATATTAGTAATTCTGTTAATCTCATAAGAATTATGTATTAGCTTGGGCATGGTTCATTTGTAAATTTAAACTGAGTTTTGTAAAGGAATTTATTCAAATAGTTATTGAGATCTTATTTGAATTTTGAATTTTGAGGGCTATATTATTGATAATTTATAAGGTATAATATTTTATTAGAAGTTATTTGGATGTTTGGAAATTGTTGGGTAAGAAAACTAAATGTTATAAAATTTTATTGAATGGTTTGGAATATGGCTGAATATTATAGGGGAACCTTCATGTGTAAATTATGGTCCTAAAATTTCAAAGTTATTATAATTAAATCTTGGTTGAGTTGATTTTTTGAAATGAATTTATTTGATTCAAGTAAAGTCATTTAAGATTTTATTATATATTTTATCAGGGTGTTTGTAAGAATGGAAACAAGATTGTAGTTATAAGAAGTGAATTTTGGCCTTGAAGATACTACAGGTAAGTGAATAGCACCCCCATTATTCTATTAATAAAAGTAATCTGTTTTTGAAAATATTTTTATATAAATTATTTTTTAACAACTATGATGATCATTAAGTACTTTATAATTAAATTATTTTGGTTTTGAAAATTATAGAATGATGATGAAGGATAATTAAATTATGATATGTGCATGTATTTTCCTTAAGAAATATACTTTCAAGATTGATGAAGGTATCTTTGTTTATTTTACTTTGAAAATTCTTAGTTACTCAACTAATGCAAGTTTATACATTAACTATGAAGTATTATTCTGGCAAGCTTTTAGAGTTGAAGCCATTCATGCGAGTTTGGCATTGAGAATGAAAATCTTATTTTAGAAATGATTATTTTTCTCGCATGTTTGAAATGTGATTTTTAAAAGGACTCTATACAGAATACTGATTGCTAACGACAGTTTCATTAGCACTTGATGCGCCATGGTCAATGACTACTTAGTTCAATTTTCGTGAGCTTTGTTCTCATGTTTGTTATTCATGGGTGTTGTACCTGCGTTTGATGTCGTGGCTTCGGCCACGTTTGGTTACTTACCTTTGTGAATTATGTGTCCACGTTTGTTTTGTGACTTTGGCCACGTTTGGTTACTTACTCTCGTGGACTGTGTGTCCATGTTTGTCTTCATGGCATAAGTTGTGTTTGATTATTTATCCTCGTGGATTGTGTGTCCATGTTTGTTACCTGTTTTGTTAAATCTTCAAAATTTTAAATTAACTGTGTATTTGAAATTTCAATGGTTTTCAGTTAGTAAGTGTACTACTTTGATTTACATATGGATAATTTGTTTTCTTCAAGCATGATAGAATAAAGAAATTTTTAGTTCACTCTCATTTTATAGTTACGGTTAAGATTTACATATTTATTAAGTTTATTATGTTGAATTATCACTTTTTCAATTATTTTACATAATTGTTTGAGTTTATTATTTTACACTTTTAAATTCTACTTTTGGGGATGCTATTCACTGAAAAATGTGTTGGTCTCAGATACATTAATTGACATTGAATCTCCTACGAATCATTGAAGGGTTTATCAATGATTGGGAAGTGGTGGACCTATGGATTAAACTACCTTTTGATGTAAAAACTTGAATTATGAAATTGTATTTTGTGAACTAAATCCTAGGTGCTCCACATATCTTATAGTTAGGTCCTTATTTTGATGTATATTCCATCTGTTGGCTGGAAGGAGTTTAATTCTTGAATAATATGATATTTTGTTTGAGGCAATGTATTGTAGAACTTTCAGGAGATCCTATTTATAGGGGAGATTTTGTTAAAATTTTCACAAAAATATTAAATCCTTTATTATCATGATCATTATCAAGAATGTTAAAATTTCAATATAACTCAAAGTTTATTTTAAAAACGGAATATTTTTTTATTTATTTGAGACTTATGGGAATGTGTGTTGTTGTTTACAACCCGTGCCGGTCACCCTTTAATTTTGGGGCGTGATAGATGTCAAGTGTTCTTCTTTCCCTTTTGTTATGTCCAATCAAGGGTGGTGATCACGTTAAGAGTTAGGCTTTGATGGAATGTGAATCTTCTTTCCCTATTTAATTATGTATCTATAACATTTTTGATTTCTTAAGAAATATGGTTTGGCTTGGACATTGTTATTTGTAAATCTAAATTGGGGTATTTGCAAAGGAGGTTATTTAAGAAGTTTTTGAGATCTTATTTGAGCTATGAATTATTAAGAGTTATGTGATTGATGATTTATAAAGTGTTGTACAGTTTTAGAAGTCATACGTTGATGCTTGGAAATGGTTGGGCAAGAAAATTAAAGATTACAAGTTTTATTAAATGGTTTGAAATATTGTACATTAGGTGTTTGGTAAAAAACTTAAGAAGAAACCTTTATGTGTGAATTTTATTGCTAAAACTTCAAAGTTATTATTATTAATTTTGATTGAGTAGATTTTCTTGAAAAGAGACTTGGTTCAAAAGTAAAGTTTATTAAATATCATGTTATATATTATAGGGTGATTTAAGTAGGGTGCCTCGATTGGAATTGCAAAAAGTGAGTTTTGAGCTTGAAGGTATTACAGGCAAGTGGATAGCATCCCAACTAATTATCAATAAAATTATTTTTCTAAAATATTGTGTTTTTATATAGACTATTTTAATAACAACTTTTGTTATGGGATATTTTGTAATTTAAATTTCTTAATCTTTTGAAATTATTTTTATCAGCTTTAGTAATTTCGTTTCTTAATAATGTAAGAATGAACGTTGGTTTTGAAATTTTATTCTGACAAATTTTGATGCTTAAAACTATTCATGCAAATTTAATTTTGAGAATGTAAAATGTGTTTTAATAGTGATGACCTTCTCGCATGTTTGAAAATGAATTTGGAGGGGACTTTATACAGAACACTGGTTGTTTACAGCAATTCATTAGCCCTTGGCATGCCATGGTTAATGACTAGCTAGTTTGATTTTTCTAAGTTTTGTTCTCATGTTTATTATTCATGGGTCTTATACTTATATTTGTTTTCATGGCTTCGAGCCACATTTGGTTAGTATTACCCTCGTGGACTGTGTGTTCACTTTGTTTCATAGCTTCGACTGTGTTGGTTACTTACCCTCTTGGACTATGTGTTCACGTTTGTTTTTGTGGCATAAGTCGCGTTCGATTATTTACCTTCATGAACTGTATCTACATTTGTTAATTGTTCTGATAAATCCCTAAAAATGTTATTTTTAAATTATTTGGTGATTTCATACTCCATGTCTTAAAGTAGTAAAGATTACTCTATTTATTTATTTTAATTACTTATATTCTTGAGATCAAATGACAAGAATATTTGATATTATAAATTTACTAATTAAAATTTATTTAAGGCTATATAGAATTTCTCATTTTCAAAACTTTTTAAATATTTTATATAAGATTGTGGTCTCTTTAATTTTATAATCTTTGTTACTTATTCATTTTATTCTTTTAAATGTTATAAATGTTGGGATGTTATTCACTAAAAAATATTTTGTTTGGTCTCATATGACATAGCTAATGTGGTACCTCCTTAAAGGTTCATTGTTGAATTGACTAAAAGACCAATTATGAGTCTATTTTCCTTTTTATGAAATTTCTAACCTCTATGTAGTATATCTTGGAAATACAATTTAGAATGCTCCACATTAACTATAATTAGAGTCTTAATTCTGTTTTGTTACATTGTCTATTGTTGCTAAGGAGTAGAGCCCGTATTACTGAATGTATATTGTAAAAATTTCTATTGTAGAGATTTTTAGGAGATCTTAATTTTAGAGGAGGTGCTATCGAAATAAAAAAAAAAGGAGAAAGAAGAAAGAAACAAAAATTTGAAATTTTGATTTATACATATAATCCTGTTGATAGTGTGTCAGATGTGTTAATTCAAAATTTTTCTTGAGTAAGGCTTTAGGGATGTATGTTTGTGCATATGTTTTGTGTTAGTCACTTTCATATGTTGGGCATGATAGTTTAATGGTCATTAATTATAGTTAAATGATTTATTGAAACCAAGGTGAGTTAAAGAAAGCCAATAATCCCTATAAGTATCCTAATGAAAATTGAGTTTTGAGAGTTTGAAAGTGTTAAGTTAGATATTAAAAATTATCCTAATAAGGATATCAATAATTGTTGATGTGGTTAAATGTATCATAATTTGGGATCATTCAAGCTTGAAATAGCTTTGGAAGGGTTTGTTTAAGAAGTAAATATTTGACCTCTCAAAGGTTTGAAGTAATCAGAAGAAATCTTTTTATACTTTTATGTATTAATTAATTATTTTTATTTGTAAACTATAAATGTAAGTTGTGAAAATTGTTTACAATACAAATGTGGCTTATGAAGTTTAAATAGTCATGCATTGATATTGGCTTATAAAGTTATCTGAGAATTGATTTTATGAACAAAGCATGTGATATATGGTGAGCTAATATGGTATAATGAATGATTTATTACTATTGTAAATTGGCAATTTTTAGAATTGAAGTGTGTGTGTGTGTGGTGAATAACGAGAGAAATGTTAAATTGAGAAGTTTTATGACAAAGTGAAAATGTGTGAGTATATGATAATTATGAAGTTCAATAACACATTATAAGGTGATATTGTGAATACTTATAAAATGATGTGGGTACAGTGATGTTGTTAAGCATGCCAATAATGTAATTTCTTTGCATGCTATGAGATATTGTATTTGAGCATTGCATGATCATGTGAAGCAGGAGTTCGCCTAGGAAGATGAATAGTGAGTTTTAAATTCACATGGTTTGGCTGCCATTCAAAGCTTGATGGCTTACCTTGATATAATTATATTAATTATCCCACTTGTTCAATGAAAGACTATCCTGTGGTTTATCGAGGGACTTAAAACTAATCTAGTTTTCACTTATTCAACAAGGAGGCTAATTTAGGGAGAAAGACACACGATAGTGTGAAATTTAGGGGAAATCATGACTCACAGGTAAGTTAAATAACCTTAGCCGACTAGCTTCTCACATGTGAAAGGCTAGGATAGTCTCATCACATGAATGATCCCATTGTGTAATAGTCCAAGGTTTCATGTCAAAGATATAAAAAAGATATAAGGGAGGTGTAATCATGCATGTTGTTATTAAGGGCACATGATTGTCTATATTGTGACCCTTTTGATGAAATCATGTGATATTATACGATCAAGTTGTAATTATGAAAAAGAACTTGTAAATGGAAAATTTGACATGATTATTGAAATTGCTATGCCACTCATATTTTGAAATTAATTTATATGCATTAGTATAGGTAGATATTCTTTGATTACTGAGTGGTTGTACTTACCCCTCTTTCTTAAATATTACAGGAGCTAGCTTATCAAACAAAATCAAGGGAAACAACTTGAGCTTAAAATACTAATCCTAATTTGCAGGTCTCATCTATTTTGAGAAGTGTCTAATTTATCATGATGTTGCTAACTAGGAGATTTCATATTTTTACTTGCTTGCCCTATGTGATTCTTGAACAAATTGGTGTATTTTAGGCCCTAGTTGGTATGTGTATTAAATTGTAAAATCTAGAAAGGGTTAAAATACTAACGCAAGTGAGGACAGGGTAATTATGTGATTGATGATGAATTATATGATGTTCTATGCAATTGAAACCCCTTTACTGTTTTTGTTATTAAAGGGTTGAGCATTGAAAATATTGTAATTGAGCATATGTATGTGTTTAGGATGTATTGCACAAGTGTCATATGGTCTATTGAGTGTGGTCTAAAGTTAAGTTTATGCTTTTGGCACTTAGAGTAAAAATTGGACACCTAAATTGTATTTTGATTGTAAAAGGAGTAAGTTGGAAAATAGGTGTCCAACTTTTGTATAAGAAATATTTTGAATGTAAAACTAATGGCATTAGTTAAAGCTTGGAGGAAGCTTTTAGTAGACACCTAGATCACCTCAATCGAACATTGAACGAAGAAATAGGGAGCATCAAAAGTTCACCTCTATTACTGTCAAATGATAACAATAGATGTTGTCATTCTATGCAATGTGCCGCGATGCATGGTATAAAAGGAGAAGTGTCGTAGCATACCCCTTGTATTTCACATTCTTAACTTGTTTTCAACTATTGTGCAAATGCTTCATTACAAATTTATACCCCATGTTTTCATAAACTTATTTTACTCTCATTTATGATTCAAGAAAATATAATTTAGTGTTTCAAAGATTTGAAAAACTTGGGATCCCATTTATATAACTTTTATGAACTTGGTAATCTATTTGGTCTAGTTCCTTGATAACCTTGATTTTAGAGTTATTTATGGATTAGTTAGGGAGACCTTATATTCGACATGTTGTCTTTTGGAAAAATATTAAGTTTTCATTTCTGATTAATCTCTCATCGCTCTTCTCTTCTTTACCTCCTATTTTTCCAAATATTTCTACTGACCCTTTTTCTGGTGCCTTTGGTGTAGACTCTTCTACTAAACTCACATGTACTGCTCCTCCAGCATTAGGCATGCCTACTAAGTCAATATCATCCACAGTATAAAGTCTCACTCTACTAAACAATATTAACAAATAAAACTCATGGCAATCAAAAGATTAGCCCATAAAGGTGAATACCAAGATTTAGTTCAAATTTAAGAGATCTCAATTTTCATAATCAAAATGAGTTTAAAACAATCGTAGACTCATATATCAAAGTAAAAACAGGTTATGAAACAATGGGACACCTCTGAGGAGTGAAAGAAATTGAAAACAGTAGAAAAATGACTCATGTGCTATGAAATAGGGCAATGCGCTGTGGCTTGCGCACGCTAAGCTGTGGCGTGTTGTGCAAAAATATCAGCAGATCCTGCTGTCATTTGACAGTAGAATCAAAGAACTTCTAACGCGTCTCGATTCTTCATCTGATGTCTGAACGACGTGATCTAGATGTCTACGAGAAGCTCTTTACATGAACTAGCTATTGGCATGGGTTTCACTTTCAAATCAAGTCACACCCAAAAGCTGGACAGCCAAACACATTTTTACTACTTATTACAACTTTCACACATAAAGGGTGTCTAAAACCCAAAACAAGTGTCAAAAGCCTTTCCTAACACCTGGACCATATCCATTAGACCTAGGATTATCAGTATGACATGTCATACGCACTTAAACACCAATATAGCATGAAATTACTCCTCAATTCTTTTTTACTAAAAACAAAAGGGGAGGCAAATTTCTATTGCATTGCACCTAAACCAAATAAAATATGTTCAAAACATCATTTCTATATTTGTACTACTATTTTGGCCCTATCAACCTATATATATAATCATACACGAATATTCAGGGCCTAAAATATAACTCAGATATTTGCAATAACAAAATAGTGCAAGTGTGATGGCATACAACCTATAATTGACAATCATATACTATTGAACAAAATAAATCTAAGCTAAAGGATATAATAGGAATGTACTAATTTCTAGCCTATTGAGCCTTCTCTCTCTCTACACTAGAGCTAGACCTTAAAAAGTGTTAAATGAAAGGGGTGAGTCTAACCACTCAGTAATTAAAAAAAAACCTACCCTATGTAGTTATATATCAATTGTAAATCAAACATATGCATATAAAACTTAAAAACATGCTTTAACACATATTATAACTTATTATTCTAGTTAACACATTTTTATCTCGCGCTTGCTAAGTACATAATCACAAGACACTTAGACATATGACCATAACTCGATTTATCACATGACTTGCCACAATTCAAAACATGTGACACATCATAAGTTTACATAGGCAATGATCAACTAACCCTATACCCTTCTTATTTCCTCAGACTGAAACCGTGGACTATAACACTGAATAGGGTTCCGTCCATGTGACTAGACTATCTAAACTTACCAATCATGATGTGTAACTCAACCAAAGATCACATGACTCACTGTCAAATCAATGTTTCCCCATTCTCAAATCTTTGGAGTGTCTCATACCCTAATCTATTCTCCTGATTGAACTGGTGAAGAAAGCGAGGTTCTATTACCTCGACAAACTATGGGACAGTTCCTCAATAAATTGTGGGACAAGGCTATACCCCTGTGAACCGAAGTGCAGCCTAAGTACCATATATATTTTTCTCTACTCCCAATCCCTAGGCAAACTCCCGCCCACTAATCATGCCATATACGATGCTCATACATTTTCACATGTTCATTTATTCATTATCCCAATAATCACATTGGGCTCACAACCGTAAGCTACCCAAGTGAGCATCAAGTTTCATTTCTCTTATAAAACATAAACAAAGTATTTTCAATCTCAATTACTCATCTTTATCAAGACCATTATCGACTACTTATTTAAACACATTATAAACATGAAATTCACTCTCGAATATCATTTTTACAACTTGAAACTCATTGTGAAATCTCTTTAACATGTTTAATGCATATCAAAGTGTTTAGATAAATATAAGATTTCATTGCATGATATACTCATTCACCAATTAAGATTTGCATGTTTAACACACAATTCACTTATATTACAATTAATAAAAAACTACCTAAAATAGGGTTCTCCCAGTTATCTCAAACCTTTAAGAGGTCAAAGGTTTACCTCTCAATATAATAGCTCCCAAGCTTGAATTCCCAAGCTAAATAGGTGTCTAAGAGCTCAATCTATAATTTATCAAGTTAACTTTCATTAACATTGTCTATCTCACACATTTCAACTCTAATCTTCTCTTTTTAGATTATTCAATACCCACATTGCTTACATTTAGGCCTACCCATTAGGTTTATTAATTATCTTTAGTCCCCATTAACATTAATGAGTCATTAGACTCTTATTAATGGCCTCACACTCTTCCAACAACCCATATTAATGCACATTTCTAATACTTATGGTGCCCAACAACTTAAGGCACCAAAATTCATTATACCTAAGCTTAAATACTCTAATATACTCCTATTAACTCTATTTGAGCCCAATAGATTCAGATCCATAACCTATAAGGACTGGAAATTAGCTTCTACTATCAAACCCTAATCATAAACTCATAAATGTGGAAGAGATGGGGAGATTAATGAGTGTGGTACTTACCTTGGGTGTTTATAGCTTCCAAAACACTCTTAATATCATCCAAGAGTGAACCCTAGCAGAGCTTGGCATACCTCTTCATTTTCTCCTTTCTCTCTTCTCTATTTATATCTCAATTTTGTGATTAATAAATTGTAAAAAATAACCATACGTCGCGACAGATGCACAATGCGCTGCGGCGTATGAAATAAAGAGGTCTTCATTCCGCATTTGAAGTGTCTATGCACCACGAAAGATGCACTACACGTCGTGGTGTATGGCGCAGTAATACTAACTCTTTTATTTTCTTCTCCTTTTGATGCCCAGGTGGCCTAACTTCATACCGAACCCATAATTAGGGATGAAATACAATCAAATATGATTATTAGACCTCCCTAACCACACACCACTATAATTTACTTAATTTTCTAATTAAGCTTAATAAATCAGGGAACTAAAAATTGGGATGTTACACATAGACTCTCAGCCTATTTGTGTAAGAAATGCTTCTCTTATATCAATGTTTATGATTATTTTTCCACCATTCTCTAATTACGAGAACCTAAATCTTTTGAGGAAGCCTCTCATGATCCCTTCTGGCAACAAGCTACGGATGAGGAATTGCAGGCCTTAAAGAAAATGCATACTTAGGATCTTATTGATCTTCCTCCTGGTATCTTGTTGGGTGCTGACAGGTCTACAAGAACAAGACTCGTTCTGATGTTTCTTTAAAGTAATGTAAGGCCCACTTGGTGACCCAAGGATTTACTTAGAAGTATAGTGTCGATTTTAAGGAAACTCTTACACTTATTACCCATATGACTTCTATTCACAGCCTTCTAACTATTACTGCTATTAAGCATTGGCCTCTTCATTAGATGAATGTTAAAAATGCCTTTCTAAATGAAAATCTAAAGGAAGAAGTCTATATGAAGGCTCTACTTGGGTATCCGCATTTGAAAGACAAGGTCAATAACATTATGAGTCGAATAGATTTCACTTATAGTCTTCATGACTTAGTTTCTTTTGTTCGGTCTACTACTCATGATATTGTTTTATTACTATTGTATGTTGATGACATGATTATCACAAGCAATGATGATATGGGAGTCCAGGAGCTCAAAATATACTTGGGCCAGCAATTTGAAATGAAGGATCTTGGCAAACTAAACTATTTTCTTAGGCTTGAGGTCCACCATAAGAGTGATAGTATATATCTCTCTTTCAGGTCAAGTACACCACCGATTTGATATTCTGAGTTCATCTTTCTGACGAGGAGGTTGAAAATACTCCTATTAAGCTGAATGCTAACTATTCTTCCACTAATGGAATCTCATTGAATAATCTGACCTATTATTGCCAGTTAGTTAGGAGCCTCATCTATCTTACCATGACTCATCATGACATTGCTTATACAATCCACATTAACTATGCATAATGGGAATTGTTTAAGACACTAAATCAATGATTGAGTAAGTCTCACTTATGTCCAAAATTGGGGCCTTAAATGCGAATGTTGGGAGTTGTTGAGTGACATTAATGACCCTAAAAGAGTTTAATCAAGATGGTTGGGTTGATGAAAGTTAAAAAATCCAATAGGTAAGCTTGGACATTAGGAATGAGAATTTTGGG